CCTGCCCCTAGCCATAAAGGGAAGAGCTCCCAAGTAGCACTGGTTCTCCACCACCTGGGAGCTACATTTCCCAACACAGGGCCTTTGGCCCTTAATTTCCATTTGATAATCAGTGGGAAGACTGTATTTAGCTCAGGATATGGCCAAAAATAAATAAATAAATAGGGATAAAAGTAGGAAATGAATACGATCTCCAGTGAAGTAAAACTTCCCATAGAGCTGGTTTAAGAGATAAAATCTATTTGTAAGTAAAAAGTCAAGATGAGGTAAGATACATCTCTATTTTTGGTTTCATTCAAAAAGCCTCCTTCATTCTTGGCAACGTAGCTATGTAGTGTGGATATGATCTACTTCATTTTAATTGCAGTATATTTAGCTATTAAAAAGTCCTTCTTAATACGGACATTTTAGCATTAAAAGTCTAGATGTTTATAATAAATACTGTATTAAAATATTTTAATATTTACAATTGGAAAAAATGTATTCTAGTCAGTCATCTTAGTGCTACTTCTTCAATTTCATCTTCTACAGAATCAACTGCTTTTAGTGCTGGTTTATTGTTTGCATGTTTTAATCGCTGTCTATTTGGATTAAAACTTCTTCCTTCACTGAAGAAAAAGTCTTCATCTTCATCACGTTCTCTACCCCTGCTGCTTTTATCCCCAGGGAGAATATTTGGAGGGCCAAAGTCTCCTTTACTGGCAGCCAGAAAAATTGGGTCATCATTTTTACAGGAAATGGTGCTGCTGCCACTGGTACCAAATAATTGTTCCATCAGATTAGCTTTTTTCTCTTTTCTTTTACTTAAATCTATGCTGTCTTTACTAAGTTTTTCCATACTGTTTCTTTGGAAATCCAAAAGGCCACTATTTTGGCTAAATGGGTTTGACTTCCCTGCTATTTTTGCAAATGAAGGTACATAGCTACCAAATGCAAACTCATCTGGGGAGGCTGGGCTTCTAATATTTCCTGGATTCTGATTCTCTCTTTTTGGATTTAAAAAACTGATGTCTTGCAAATGATGCCCATTAAATAATTTCTCTGAGGATTCAGAAAACATGTATTTTTGGGGACTTCTCTCTGGAGAGGACAGCTTTGATTCCAAATCAGGGAGCAATGGCAAAGAAGGACGTTTTAGATTCTGAGAGTCTTGGAGTCCTCTGTTGATTTCATTCAATTTAGCAAGTAGCATTTCTCTCTTTAGTCGTTCTTCTTCCTCTTCTTCCAATTTATCAATATTTTGAATTTGATACATTTCCATTTGGTATCTTCCAGTTTCCAAATCTGGCTTTTCTTCTTTCTCCAGTAAAGATGTCTTTTCTTTTTGCTTTTTATCAAGTTCTTCTCTTTCCCATTCTGTATAAAATCAAATTTTAAAAATGGGATTTTATAGCAATCAATATTTTTAAATATGAAAACTCAACTACCATCTTTTACAAAACAACTGTCTTTATCTGATTTGGGCAATTACAAGTACAGTGAGGATAGAAATCATAAATTCCATTTCTATACTTGATATTCTAGGTTTAGAAAATAATATATTTAAC